CTCCCCCCACGTGTCATAATTTAGGCAGGAAACAAAAAGATTATTGAGGAAATCACATGGGATGATGGTGCCATCTGACAGAGTGTAAGAGAAAATGTACACAAGAGTGTACATGTAGCATGGTTGAATTTTTTATTAGATTGCAGCCCATGCTTGGGCTCCATTAAATGAGATTTCGTGGAGGAAAAATGTGTTTTGAAATAGTGATTTTTTCGAGGACGTGTGGTTAACAAATAAAGAATTTTTATGAATTTACGTGTAATATAATTTTATGGGAGATTGTGCGATTGAAAATCAGTTTTGAAAAAAATGCATTTTTTTTAAATAATAGAGCCCAAACTACGTGTTTTATGCTATTGGATTCGTCTTTTTATCGAAAAGTTAACACACAATTTTTATAAATAGATACTAACGAGACCTGTATTCAAAATCTTTGTTTGTTAGAATAATGCTACTTTGCTAGAAGAATTTGGCTAGATAGACGACATCGTGGGTGATTGTGTGGGAAAGCTGATTGTAACATTATGTCAACCATTATGACAAACTTTTTGTTCATATCGCATGATTGTTGTCTGTTAGGGTGGAACTTAGAGATGTCAAATCGGGTCACACTATCTACACATGGCTATAGAGGCCCAATGCTTACATTAGCAAGTTCCGTTCGTACTTCTCGTTTAACAAACTCATCTAAAAATTAAATGACACTTTGTGTCCGAGAAAGAAGGTCACAAAGACCTAAGGGCATGGGCATCATTCCCAAGAGCATACGTTACTTTATGTCGCATTCTTATCCTACCCAATTGAGCATTAACAAACATAAAGCTCTTCTCTATAAATGCGGCTGTTTTTCACACAAATTCATACACTTTGTCTCTCCCCCTTTCTCTTTCTATTTGCTTCAAGGCTTGTACACTTTCTAAGCAATGGCAAAGAAACTAACCTTCTTGTTCTGTCTAATCTTCATGGTTGCTATGCTAGCCCATAATCAGGTAATTCACAAGTTTCCTAGCCACCTCCCGAAGAAGAGCTCGCTCGCGTTATTTCATATCACGATATTCTTACATAAGCTAAAAATAAATATATTATTGATGACTGGGTGGACTAATAACATATTTATTTACTAGTTTCTAGGATTTATTGATGTACTGATGACTTCAACTTCTTATCTCTTAAACGTATCTAAATTGAAAATTTCTTAACGTCCTTGAATGAATTTTTGTAGGCTTATAGCACCTTACTACCAGCTTCTCAGCTGCAACCACAGAGAAACAATCGAATGGTAAGACCAGACTCCCCTCCATGCTATGTATCCACACACTTTGAGCCTTTCTTTTGTGCAGCAACAAACTAACTTTGTTTTTAATAAATTTGAGGATGACTACAAATAATTTGCATTCTTCTTCGGCTAATATTTCGTTCTGTTGACTGCAGTATGGCTCTACTCAGGGGAGCCTTCAGCCTCAAGGTGGGTTACAGTTTCTAATTTTATCAATATTGCTGGAATTAAGGGCATGTTTCGTACGTGGTACTCTACTAGACCATACATTAAACAAACCTTAAAAGCATCAAGCTGAACTATGTTGAGCAAATTGTTAGGACAATGTCATGATGACAGTCTCAGCTCCAATGCAGTTCTAAATAGCTAACTATGAAGTTAATTTTGTCAAATTTTGTTCTGCATTCTATTAGTCCTCAAAAACATAACATTCAATAAGACAAGGTAAAAATCAGCACTCCTTAGTTATATTCCATGACTTACATTCATGACTGTGACACTGAAATAAATTAGAAGTGCGACGTACACTTTGACACAAAAAAAGTTTGATGATCTAGATGAAATTTCGTATATGTTCGACTCTCAGTGGATTTTACCTATGTGCTAAATGAAGCTCCATTTTTTGTGTAGAATGTGCACCTAGGTGCACCAGTAGATGCTCAAAAACATCTTTCAAGAAGCCATGCATGTTCTTCTGTCAAAAATGCTGTGCAAAGTGTTTGTGTGTGCCTCCTGGCACATATGGCAACAAGCAAGTTTGCCCTTGCTACAATAACTGGAAAACCAAGAGAGGTGGACCAAAATGCCCTTGAGAAATCCCAATTTGCCCATTTTCTACCAGCTTATTATTAATTGCTTAATAAATATATACACCTGATCTAGCCAAATATGGCATTAACTATCAAAAGATCACCAAGTATGAGAATGCTTTCTATTCACTGTATGTTACTGCCAGTTGGTTGAGAAATTAGAGATTTCTTGGCTCTGTTGTATTTTAGTGCACGTTTAGTACATAGTACTAAACAAGACTAGATAGTATAATAAACAAAATTTAACTTATTTTTATTCCTTAATATTGTCTAATACTATCAAATCTTTCCTACCAAACATGACAGGTAAACAAATTTAGAAACTCATCGTTTTTACTTTTTAGTGAAGATGTTAAACTGCATTGCACCTGCCTCAGAATAATGTCAATCGTGCAATCTTATGTTCCTTGTCGGCCAATGGCCTTTCTACATGTATCAATATTTTAAAATCCGACCCGGCATTTATTCGAAAAAAGTCAAAAAGTCAAACCAGGAATTTCCGTAGCTAGGCCAATATGGTTAAAACTATGAACGTATTATAGTTCCGCACAGATGCTCATAGAAAAAATAGGACTCGATAGCTCTAGTGTGTAAAACTTCCAAACCGATAAGCGCTGAGAATTCATGGGGTTACAAATAACTAAAAGAGTAAAGATTCTACCCTAATTACGCAACCACACTATTAAGAATGTACATCAAAGTAGGAGGAAAATTTTTCAGACTATTACAATCTCTCTATTATATCTTTATTCTTTAACAAATATGAAGCTCTACCCAGCAACGCCTTCAATCAATCACAAAAGAAGACTTTAGCACTGTCATAGTTGGATGGATGAGAAACTGAACTCGAATATCTTATGAGAATATCACGTAAGCTTACTCTCAAACAAACTTCCACGAGATTTCTGCATTGCTTTCATGTAATGGAAGACCTCGATTTATAGGATGAAAGGAGTTTGTTGCAGATGAGGCAATTTACGTATCAGATATTAGGTGAAATAGGATAACAATGGTGACAGCAAGAAGGAAGATGATTCGAAATGCAGGCTGTCTATCCATAATTATCACCAAAAAATTCTCCTCTACCATCCCAATTCCCAGGGTCGACTTTCGAATGATTTTCCAATCATGCTGGGGTTCCAATTTATAGTCCCATCCCCACACTCATACTCTGGAAAGTAGTTGAGAAATGTTTTGCTTCCAAGCTCGTCAAATCCATTGAAGATGAAGTTTCTAATTGTTCCCTACCAAATAATTACAATGCAAAAACAACTACATAAAGAAATATAAAAGATGATGCTCGATAACCCAAATCAGATTGCTTAGCACGAGTCTCCCCAATTAGTCTTGTCAAAACTTGATAACCTGGATCCTGATATTCAGAATTTTCCATCAGCCTTCTTTAAATTATTCATGAATTGTCTTTTTAATGAACCTAATTAAATTACATCATAAACTTCAGATAAGATGAACACATGCGCTTTTTGCAAATTAGACCTCTGGATGTCACAGACACATAAAATCAGTGCGCGAAAGAGAGACTCAGATGTATACAGCTATAACCATAGTAGACTAATGAATATGCAGCATTTATTTTCTAACCAAAAAATAAACCCCCAAAGATGTGTAACAAAGTGTTAATCGAACCATTTCCCCGTTATCTGAGAATGTTTACGCGGCACTTTAACTGCCACCATGTAACTAGAGCGAATTGCAGTTGCTTTTCATTCACTAATGACTAGTGACACGTTCATCATGAATTAAGAAGATAAATCTAACAAATCCATTAGCTAACAAGATTCATGACTATAGTACACAAACATGGGGGAAATAAATTCAATAACATAACAGATGTGAGAAAGCACAATGTTACCCACCTTTTCTGCTCTCCATGTCGGATACCTACGCTGTGCTTCGAGATTGCACATAATTTGCGGGCCTCTGGTCTTCTCTGTTGCTTTGTCCATCAGCTCGAACCTCACCTGCAAATGCAACAAGAAAGTCATAACCACAGTAAATGAAAGAGCATGTTTGGCTAAGCTTAAATAAGTGATTTTAAGTAGCTTTTAGTTTCCAAACATGCCTAAAGATGTAAACTATATTTCTTACTCTTAACTCTCAAGTAAAAAAGTTGCTTATTTTGAATGTCTATTAACTTACTATAAAATAAGTAACTACTTCCAGCTTTTACCAGTAAAAATATTATTTATTTTGAAACTTGCTTATTCATTTTTTAAGTAAACTTTTTAGGCTTAGCTAAACATATCTTAAAGTTCTGAAGTTCACGTTCACCTGAAATGGGCTACGATAGGGTTTATGTGTCTATTGACCTGTCACTTTTTTCATTCTAGACACCAGTTTTGTTGCACAATATAAAGCACTGTGCTTAGATTCTTCCTTGAAAGCACAATATAAAGCACTGTGCTTAGATTCGCTTGGAGAGAACTTGGTCCATATAGTTAACTGTCAGTGAGAAAAATCTCAAAGATTCATTCGTAATCTTTACACCCCCAGGTAAAAGCTGCATGAAATCCGTGTTACATCACCATTCCATGATTTCAGATGGGGAAAATAAATATATGTAGGAATCTTTGAAAGTCAAATTTGAAGTGTAACAACTTAAATTTGTTCACCTCAGCATACTTCAGGCCAAGAGGAATTAAGTGCTTATAGTACTTCTCTTTGTAATCCCTCTGATTAATGACATCATGTAACAGGTCAAGGTCCCTGTAAATAGTTAAAACATTTCAGATATTTTATGCCCCAACATATATAAAAAATTCAATGAGAAAGATAGATATCAATATAGATTATCAGCACTCGATCATCAATCAACTATTGAAGAATGTTTGTTTATGAAGTGCACATATCATTGATATTTGACCAGTTTATAGCTATCAACCAGTTATAAAAACAGTTTCTATCTATTCCTGGACTCAGAAGAGACAATTCCGAAAGTCAAAGTAAGGGAACCAGAGAACTTACAGTACAATGATGCTCATGCTAGCAGTGGTGAAAAAATTGGCACAAAAAATAGGTAGATCAATTTCTGGTCTGGGGAATATACCAAGATCCAAGACTTGAACGCAATGCTTCCAAACTAGAATTACCAAAACATTAGTCAGATGTACATGAAAGAAAGACGAATTCTTTCCTGGTTTCATTTTTCTAACCAAGTGATTCACAATAAAAATTTACTAAAAAGCAATTTTAGGACAATTCCCATTTCCCAAATATACATGTGACAGTTCTCAAACAACTATGAAAATGAAGACATGCAACTCTAATCTGATGTCAACTGGAGCAAATAAGGAACTTTTAGTTAAGTGCATTCTGTAGCACGGCTTAAGTAACTAAATGGCGCCTCTTATAACTATCAAAAGATAAATTTGTTGGGTTGAATCGAAGACAAAATAATAAATCAACTAAAAATGGAGTGTTTCTTGCCACTGGTAAAGTAGAAACAGAATGAAATACTTCTGCTCCATTTTAGCATCGAAAAGAAATCTGAGAAACATTTACAGAGACAACTAACAAGTTACATTCTGACTTGAGAACCATGTATGGTAATCACATGTAAATCTAATCAGCGACATTAAAAATTATTGCATATACTTTTCATGTGTGGCGATCCCATTTCAATCAAACAGCAACAGAAAATTATATGATTTTTAAATTGTGGAAATTGGAACTTGTTTTTCTCTCTTCACGACCAAGATAGAGGGTGGCAGGGATCATCGACCTTTGAATTATAAAACGTTTCAAGATATTTAAGTATGTAAATGGACCTGCATCATGTCACTCTGATCAACACACAAACTACGCACTACTCCAATCTTAGAAGCTTCATAAGAGAGCATACGAAGCTCTGTTTTCCCATCCATGGCCATAAAGTGACTGAAGTTAAGTTTTCCTGCAGAAAGAGAACAGAGAAGCCTTTTTATTAGTCGCTAATAGGTAGACAGGAAAGGGAACTGGCTGAAGGTAAATAAATAACGATGTAATTTGGCATCTGGAACTTCCTATGTATCTTCAATTTTGGCTAATGACAAGTTTGAGAAATAAAATGATAGATAAGACTGTGTAATAGAGAAGGCATGCCTTTTATGCAAAGTATGAATTAATCATAACACTACATAGTAAAATAAAGTGAAGTTAACAGATTATTAGTTGATCGTGACTATAAAAATGATTATTAGTCAACAACATTCTAATAAAACAACAAAAACTTACATTTGATGTAGCATTCCGAATCACTCCCAATTTCTGTTCTTTCTAAGCCTTAATACATTTCATTTCTTTTAGCAACACTCTACTGTAAATATCACCTCCAATCTCAATATAACTGCACAACCTCACTAAACCTTACATCAATGGGCACAAAATTCAAGACCTAGACTGATTAATTTCCATGAATGTCCTCCAAAATAAACTCTTCAAATAGAAAAAAAAAATCTAGTTTTTAGACAACCTAAAACTTGTTAATTCATAACTTTCCAACTGGAGAAAGTTCGATCTTTTATGAAAAAATAATCCATATGGATAAAATTGGCCCCATTAAAAAGAAAACACATAATTTACCTATACAAACATAAAAAGGAACACAAAATCCATTAAGCCTACGTATAAATACATATAAACAAAAGGGTATTTACCTGAAAAGGAGAGGGGCTTAAATGATGGGTGCTCCTTGCATTGAGGGCTTCATCATATTTGTGACACTATAAAATCTTCTTCCCGAACTACTGTAAAGATTTGTACTTTTTACTGTGATGGTTAACTCGGTGAAGAACAAAAATGGTGATAACAGGACTCCAGAAGGACCCAGTTGCAAGAGTTCGAAGATTTGTGACGGGAAGTTCAATTATCAATTAAGGGTAAATAGCACCGAACATCTCTACATCCATACATTTTCACCCCAATCTTCTACCTTTCATTGCTCAAAAGGTCATTTTCAATCATTTTTTCAATAAAAGACGATTTTACGCTCATATTCTAATAAAACGAAAAGAAAAAAATGAATAACCAACTGCAATTATAATCCTTAAGTTTTTAAAAAATTACAAAGAAATCATAAATTCTCTTTCACCATCACCACTTTCACAACTTACCAGCTGCCATCTATAGATCCACATAGCACCACCTTTCGGCCACCACACCCACCGGACTCCATCACCACCAATCTCGTTTCATTCCCCCACCGTCCTCCCCAACACGAATTTGAAGATTGGAACACTTATGACCTACCAATTTTGGTCGACAGCTCTCTCCGTGCATTGTGCTCGTGGAGAGTTTTGGACCATAAATTGAAACGGTTCTGGGGATAATTAGTTCAATTAGATTCATACACATTGTCATTTAGGTTTGTTGATGGTTTGATTGATGTCAATTTGGAGATTTAGTGTTGTGGGATGCATGAATTGAAGGAGAATTGTTTGGCAAAATGAACGTCGACATTGTTGAATGTTTAGATTCCAGTAAAATGATTTGAGGCATGTTTGATTGATTTGAGGCCATGTATAAGTTCGTTGATGTGAGGGGTAAAATCATCAGTGGTGGGCGCGACTGTGGCTGGCGCCAAAAGTGGGGTTGTCTGAAGGGTTGTGTAGGCGTTTGGTATTTTAGGCTGCAAATGTGGCTGTTTTCGACAGATTTTGTGATTGATACTGTGGGAGAGGATGGTGGGGAGAGTGAAGCAAGGCTAGGGTGGTGGAGTCCAGCGAGCGAGGTGGCTGAAGGTGTGTTATGTGGATCTATAGGTGGCAGCTTGATGAGGTTGCAAAAGTGGTGGTGGTGGTGAATTTAGGACTTATCTGTAATATTTTGAAAAATTTAGGACTATGATTGCAATGAGTTTATTTTTTTAATTTTTCTTTTCTTTTCTTTTTGTTTCATTTGAATAGAAGGATAAAATCGTCATTTTATTTGAAAAATGGTTGAAAGTGACCTTTAGCGTAATGAAATGTGGAAGGTAGGGGTGAAAATGTCAAAAAATGAAATATATAGACGTTTTACACAATGACATTAAAAGGTAGGGATATTTTGTGCTATTTACCCTTTCAATTAAATATGAAAATATCTTTTTAGAATAAAGCAAAAAATGAAAATTGAGAATCTTGAATGCTTGAATGGAGTGAAAATGCCCTAGATAGAAATGAGTGCAAATTCAATGAATGGAAATAGCTCTTATTCAAAAAGTGCATGCACCTTGATCACGACTAAAATAAATTTTGGTCCACATTTGCTTTTTCTTCGACATTTGATTTTTATAATAGAAACATTTAATTGGGTGACGAAGAGGCTTAAATTTAAAATATTTATTTATTCTGATATCACGTTGAATTATTTGATTTAAAAGTTTAAGTTCAATCTAATGTTTATCATTTAAGTATTATTTTAAAAAATAATGTTACGTTTTAATCTAATTCTATCGTTGTTTTTTAACTGTCTTTCATTATATTGGGATTTTTTTGTACCTTAAAATAGAAGATAAAAAAGCAAATTTATGAAAGAAAATAAAAGGTAAAGTACTGCACAGCACACTAGGCAGCTACCAATTATTTAAACGTGCTCCTAATAAAAAATATAAGTTGTCAAACAAATGGCAGAATGGAATTATTAGGCACATAGACTCTCACCCATTGAAGAAACTGAAAACCAGCCGACATTCCTAGAACCTACAAAATCTTCGTTGGTTTTGCGGAGTCAATTACGCGCCGCCTTGTCCAAAACGTGTGGATCACCGCGTCAGCCAGCCCCTCTATTTATCTCTCTGGAACCGTCCTCATCCTTTTATGATAAAGTTTCTTTCCATAAATAGATTCAAATCCCACAATCTGTTCTAAATTTCATTTTGTTTTACATCCAAAATTCAGAAAATTATGAATCCCACTCAAGAAAATCTGGATTCTGGTAATCTCTTTGATCGATTGCCTGATGAAATTGTGCTTTCAGTTTTCGACAAACTACATGATGCAAAATCTCTGTGTTTATCCATGTCTGTGTGTAAGAGGTTTTACTCTATAATCCCACAAGTTGAAGAAGTTTTTCTGCATATTCCCAGAAAAAAATCAATGGGAAAAGATTCTGAAACCCCTCAAAATTTCTTCAAGAATCATTTTCTTAAAGCCCTGATGAAACCCTTTGGCTTTATTTCTCAAATGGTCAAATTCAAGTCGAAAAAAGAGGATGATGATTATGATTATAATTCTTATCATGTCCCGAATGAAATTTTGAAGCCTTTTGAAGAAATTCGAGCTCTAAATCTGAGACTGCCATGCCAAAAAAATGGTTCGAAATCTGGGAAGGAATTTAATTCGATGCTGAAATGGAAGGCAGAATTTAGTAGCCAGCTACACAGCTGCGTGATGTTAGGAGCCAAATCTTGTATCGACAAACGAGAAAATGAAGAAAAATTACGTGAAAACGAGGAAAATTCGCGTGAATCAGAAGTGATTGCAGATGGTGAGCTGAAGCTGAGAATTGTATGGACGATTTCATGTCTGATTGTGGCATCAGCCAGGCATTATTTGATACAAGAAATTGTCAAAGAGCACAAATTGATTGACAAAATTGTTGTTACGGATGAAAGTGATCAGGGAAAACTTTGCATGAACAAAGAGCAAATTGAAGAGTTTAGGCAATTGAATTCAAAGGACTCCTCCTTGGAAAATAGGACTAAATTACCAGCTTTGAGGATGAAAATGTGGTATTTGGAAAAGTTGGATTTGCCGGATTCTGGCCGGACAATGGAGGGGGCGACACTGGTGGTGATAAGGGCGGTCGGTGGTGGTGGAGAGGCGGTGAAGAGGAAGAGTGACGGTGATTTGGTGGCGGATGCATTTGAAGGGGTAGGAGAAGATAGGGTGGTTGAGGAGGCTGTGAGGAAATTGATGACTACTAAAAGATGTTATACTTTGGAGATGAATGCATTTTAACTTCTTATTTTTTCTGTGATTAATTCATTTTGTATGTATTTTACAATGTAGATTTTTGTTAGAAAATTCTTGGAGACTTTGTAATTTTTGGGACAATGTATTTACTTTGACCAATATTTTGTCTTGTTGAGATTTTCAATTCATTGTGATACAATCTTGAAAATTTGCAATCAAATGTGAAAATAAACAAACATAATTGACACATTTACCTTACATAATGTCTGCAGCAAAGCCAGTTATTGACCCTTCCACTTTCCCATTGGTCCGCCCTTTTTTGGGAGTCGATAACAAAATTCATGTGGATATCGATGCCTATTTGACCGTCTCCAGAACTTTGAAACTCAAATACCTAACATCAAAATTTAAATCATACATAACAAATTAAATCGACAAAATCATTATCAAAGAGAACAAGGAAACTACGCGATAGAGAGAAATACCGGAGATTTCTATGCTAGCACCTATGAACACGCTTCAAAGAAGAGCCAACAAAAAACCTTTCATATTGTCTCGAGAAAACCCGTGATTCGAATTTTGCTAAAATCTCTCCCTTTTTTTCCTTCCTCTTCATAGGGATCTTTTCATTCCCATTTCATGCTAAATCAATGAGGTTTTCATTTGTTTATTGAAAATAATTTGGAAAATAAAATCAATGGGAGCCACTTTTTTATTATTGCAATGCATAATCACTTCGATTGATTTGCCAGCCTCTTCTTGATCTAATGGTTAACTAATTGATACATTATGTTCAATTTTAGAAATATAATAGTAATAAATTAAAAATAAATCACAGTTTTTCTCTTATAATTATATAAATTAATAAATCAAAAAAAGGCCACCACATTCATGTCCGTCAAAAGTAAATAATTGAAATTTTTTTTATGGACTTTTCTCGCATTTATCCTATATCGGCCAAATGATTTGCATAATTATTTCCTTATCATAAAGTGTACGAGATTTTAGTACAGAATAATGATATTTAACATCAATCTAGGTGGTAGCACTTATAATATTAAATTATATGTTCAATTAAATACAATAATTTATGAATCATTTAATTGGACGTGATATGCAGAGACAATTATACGTTGTTAATCTGCATAATCTTTTCCTATTAGGTGCAAGGATCATTAATTCGTTATTGATTAGGTAGGTAGAGTCGTGGAATGTTCTAAAACCCAAGAAAATATGGAAGCTAAATAGGGGCTTAGTCATAAGGGAAAAAGTCTAGTATATTTTTCGACCTTGAATAAATATCAGGACTTTCTTATAGAAAGGATTCGACGAAGGGAAAAAAAAAATGTTCGCCATTTTTACTCCAATATTTTTTATTCTTTGAAGGTAAATTAACTAATTGAACAAAAGGAAAAATTATTAACCGTCTTATTAAAATAATTACAAATGTTCTTAAAATAATATTAAAAATAGAGAAATACTCTATTGTGCTTAGGTTGAGGTTGGTAAGGCTTGACCTTGTCCATCTTTCCACACCTCAGGACCTCACGACTTTTACAATATTCTCAGGAAGTTTCTAATTGGCCTTTTTCCCCTGCTGCTATAATTGACAAAAATAATATTAAAACTGTTAAATCAACCATCCAAAACTTATCACCCATGGTTAACTATGTCAACGAGCTGAGCCCACAAAAAAAATCCCAAGAAGTTTCTAATTGGCCGTTTTCCCCTGTTGCTATAATTGACAAAAATAATATTAAAACTGTTAAATCAACTATCCAAAACTTATCACCCACGGTTAACTATGTCAACGAGCTGAGCCCACAAAAAAAACCCCAGGAAGTTTCTAATTGGCCGTTTTCCCCTGCTGCTATAATTGACAAAAATAATATTAAAACTGTTAAATCAACTATCCAAAATTTATCACCCACGGTTAGCTATGTCAACGAGCTGAACCCAAAAAAAAACTCAGTCTCGACTCGAGCTTTTTTAGGCCCGAGCCGAACCAGCCCAAAAAATGAGGCTCGGCCCTAGCTTTCGGTCCGAACCTTAACGGGCCGAGCTCGGACCGAGCCGTTCAGATTTTTTTTTTTTAATGTCAAATCTACATTTTTACTTAAAAAATTTAAAATTTATACGTACTATAAATTAAATAAAAAAGCTCGGATTCGGCTCGAGCTTTTTTGGACCGAACTTTTTTGAACCGGAGCCGAGCCGAGCAAAACCCTGCCAAAAAAATGAGTCTCGGCCCAAGCCTTGGCTCAGTGTAACCCAGCCCAAGACAAGCCCAACTCGAGCTTTTTCCGAGCTAAGTCCGAACTGACAAGCTTTTTTGCCATCCCTACCCACAGTCAATTTTATCTATACATTTTAAATTAAAATTTTGACGTGTGCTCAAATTTTGTAAATAATTGATGGCCAAACTTGTCCCCAGCTATCAACCAGACCACAGTTAAAGCACAAAGAAGTGGTTTTCAATATATCTGGTTAATTCCCACAATGCATGATCAATACCATGACGAAATTGTCTGCCCAACATCTATACACATCGTTTGCATCAATTTTTTTAAAAATGCAGCACAAAGTTAACTAATTAATAAACTGAAAACAAATTATGGATTTAATAAGATTTCCCACAGTGTATCAAGCTTCCAGCTCCCAAGAAAAGACCAAATACGGCAGCACTTCCAAGGGTCGTTTGCCCAATATATCTTATTTTCAGAAGGCCTGGAACCTGCATTTTCACAAGGAAAACTTTCTGTCAAAGTCGAACAAATCTAGAGTAAAAAATCGATTGAGTGGATGATCAGAAGATTGGGAATATGTTGATAACTGTCAATGCTTTCGAAACATATGTATGCAGGTCCTTGCAGGATGTGATGAAATATGCTTTGCACACAGGGTAGAGCGCGTTTTTCAAATTTCCAACTCATGAGATACACTACCTGACCATATTCCACATTTTTTTCTTTTCACGGAAATTAATACGAACAACTAGTGCTGATATCTTAAGCATCCGTTTGGCAAAATTCATAAATGGTCAAATTCCATTTTCAACTACACATTCTAATGGGCCCACAAGTACTTTTCACTTATCCATCACTTATTTCTATCTATATACAAATTAAACAGCTTATAAATTTCTTCTCAAATGGAGGCTAATAACAATTGCAATAGAAATTAACTATTTACTTAAAAGGATATTAGACGTAACATAGCAGAGCTAGTAGGAAGCAACAAAATATTCAGCAAAAGATTGCCAGGGACAAATAAAAGTAGATAGTGGCAAAAGAAGTCATTCCACAACAACCATAAAAGAAATGATGATGTAAATTATATGCTACAGAGATCATTTCATCAACTTCTTTATCCTACACTCTTATTTCTCTTCCATTTCCGTTTGCCTTTTTTCTTATGCTTAATCTCCTCTTCGTTTCCTGAGCTAAACTAAGATGCATTGCTAGTTCTTACAAGTTGCATAGAGAAACGATTATTGCACTGCAATGCAACAAACCAATGAAATATTCAATTTCTACCAACTCTTATTGGTTTAAAAAGCTATCAACCAAGTAGACCAAACATCAACTGATTGAAGCGTCGCTGAAGGAAAAGGCCTCAACCAGTGGACAAAAACCCAATAATAGTAACCTGAGGTCCTGAGCAACACATACATAATAAGATGGACCAAAGTGGCTGGAGATTCACTAGTCCAAACGAATGAAGCCCCTATCACTTTCTCGAGCTAGAATGCAAACATGCAACAAAGGTTCTACTAGCAAAACTGTCCCAATTATTTCTGCAAGTAATAGAGCATGTTTGGCTAAGTTTTACATAACGAAGTTGCTTTTAATTAACTATTAAGTAAAAACAAGCTTTTTTTTAAAAGTAATTCTTACCCACTTTTTAATCACACCAGGGTGGACAGTTTATGGCAAAACATAATAAAAATTTCACTTTAGGAAAGGGGATTGGATGGACCTCCCATGGCAAAAAATCATAACATTGCAAAAAAAGTCCTCAAATGAAAAGTTAAAAGACCCGCACGAAATTAGGTCGTAACATTGCCCAGGAAATTGCCTTAAACACAAAGCTCTTACGCTACTATCAAAATAAGATTTTAAAACTTACTAATTTTACTTTTAAGTAAACTTTTTAGACTCGGCCAAACATGCTTCAAAAATCCAAATGCATCAAAACCCAAATCCATAACAACAATGCAAACTCCAAGATGGGCAATGCTACCTAAATAGCTATCTGTGAAACTAACAAATACTATAATGGGTAAAGGAAAGCAGCAGAATGTTGGTTTCTCAAACATGATAACCTGAGATTAAAACATATGTAATTTTTGAGCTTTATAACTGTTCAAATAAAATTGGGATTCAAGATAATTTAAAAGTAAAATTTAAAAATTGTGAATTCTATTTGCTGACTTGAATTTATGACAAGCACGAAACAAAGCACTGTGTCAATATGAGTGTTCAACTATCTATAACAAAAATGGCCATTTCCGTTCTGGAATTTCTTGTAAATTTATTGCACATTGTGGAACTTGTAAGAACCCAAACCCAAAAGCCTGGTCAGTATAGAAACTACATTGCAAAGGAAAGATCTAACAAGAGCACTTGCTCAATATGAAGTGTTATCCAATTCTTATAGAAACATCTGCATGTATGTTGTCCGCAAGAGAGCTTTGTGGAAGAAATGATGACGGTAAGATGGACATGGAAACTTGAAAGTATAGTGGATCTCCTGATTCTCATCAATCCAAGGCTATTGAAACTGGGTCATATGATATGAAAATGAACTTTTACCTTGCTGAGTAGAGCACAGTACAGATATAATTAAGATCTCACACCTACAAGATATATATTCTAATTAAGAAATGGTGTGAAAGAACTAAAATGAAGGTCTTACTCCGGAATTTATGCTTGGTATTCATTATTCAGTACACGATGATGGATAAAATAACGGAACTCAGGAGAAGATGATGCAATGATTCATGGTGACTCTAATTTTTGGCTAAAAATATTTTGCCAATGACGAAGTTTGAGGAATTGAAACTTTGGAGTTGATGTCTGTAATGACGAGCACGTTGAAGTGCTCTGTGTCGCCTATGCAGGGGCAATTTTTTTAGAAACTAACAGAATTTTTAGGGTATGTCAACTATATTTAATTTTAACCATTAGTTCATTTCTACAATTTGCATTCTTACAAAAACAACAAAATGCTTATAAAATTATCTCAAGACCAAGAGGAAGATAGACAGTCAAAATCTGGAAACCCTACAAAAAATCTTCAAACAAGCAAGATCTACTGAAATCACTACCAAAGTTTCTTCCACAATTCCTATTAAATTACATGGTGAGTCAAGTTGCAGTTACCTATTGATTCTTCTAATATATTTTGATAACCAGATTATACCATATC